AGAATTTGTTTAGAGCCATTTTTATAGGTATTTGGAGAGGTTTGGGGGAGAGGCTGAAATGAGTCACTGCTTTTACTCTGCCATCTTGGCTCTGCCCCCTCCCACCCAGGATTTTCTACATACATCATTGTGCTTTCAGTAAATAAGGATTGTTTTATCTTCCCTACGTATCTTGTAATAGCAATAGCAACATTACTTCTAAAATGTATTAGTAAAGGGATGGTTTGTGAGCATTTAGCAAGAGAAATAGTAGTTACTAAAAGCCAGCATGATTTCATCAAATATTGATCATGCCTTACTAACTTTATTTTCTTTTGTTATAGGAATATGAAATTATTAGAGCAGCAGAATAACGTAGACATAATAAACTTAGATTTCAGTAAAGTATTTGAGAAAGTCACACCATCCTTGTGGAATGATGTGTACTAGTCAATAATAAATTAGGATTTGGAACTGATTGAATGTACCTAACCCAAATAGCAATTTGTTACTTGGAGGGGGATCTCTAGTAGAGTGCTTCAGGATTCTGTTCTTGGCTGTTGGCAATTCAACATTTTTATCATCAACGTAGTTGAAAGGATACTTGCTTTACATATCAAATTGCATGCGGCATGAGGCCGTAAGGGATAGGCAACAGTCAGGGTCTAAAGAGATCTTGCCAAGGCAACTGTAATAAGATGAAATTTAATGTGGACGAATGGAAAGGTCTTTATTTAATGTCCCACAATTCTACTTCAGAAGCACAGCATGAGGGAAGTGTGGCTAGGCTAGAGTTCGTATGAGAGAGCTGTGGGTCTCAGAGATCATAGACTCAATATGAGTTAACATCCAGGAAAACGAACTCAATCTTAGATTGCATTACAATGGGGCATAACCTCCAGATTGTGGAAGGTGATTGTCCCATGGGATTCTGGTCTGCATATACTACAACTGGGGCATTATGTTGAATGCTGGGTGTTATTCTTCAGGAAGGATTTAGACAGTCTTGAGTACATTCAGATTAGGGCAATCAGGATGGTGAGAAACCTGGAGACCATACAGACATCGGATTCTGGGAATGTTTAGTCTAGAAAAGACTCAGGGATGATGTGTTAACTATCTCCAAGTATTTGAAGTCATTTGGAAGAGAGATTAGATTGACAGACCCTCAGAAATGAAACTAGAAGCAGAACCAAACCTAACTACAGAGACCCACAATTAAGTCTTCATATAAAGGAATATTTAGAACTATTCAAAAGTGGGCTGCCTTTGGGAAGTAGCAGACATTCCTTCACTGGAGAGTTTTAAGTGGAGCTTGGTATACTACTTGTTGGTGATGCTATAGAGGGAATTCCCATCCACGGATCTGATAAGTAATTTCTTCCATGTTCCTCTACTTGGATCATGATTTTGCCCTTTCTGTTTAAAATCTTGTATACATTTGGAGCTTGTCTTAGTATATTATGTGAGATATTGGTCCATATCTATTTTTCATAGACTACTTTCCAGTTTTCCCAACAATTTTTATCAAATAGTGAGTTCTTGCCCCAATAGGTGGGATCTTTAAGTTTGTCAAACATTAGGCTACTGTTCTTATTTGCTAATAGATTAGTCTTCCTGGCTTCTAGTCTGATATTCTTCACAGTCCACCACACTATTTCTCTGCCTGTGGATTCATCAAGAACTAGGAGAGGAAGGTAATGATAGTAGCTCTCTCGAGTTAGCTAGTCTGTCTCTAGGGTGAAAGAACCCTAAAGCTTCCCTGGTTGGAGATGACCAAGCATCCTTCTCCAGGTTTCTTGGTTTCCACCCCATCTACCCTCCTGGTAGAGATGACAAATATTGGGTCTGGAGTCAGAGAACCTGAGTCGGAATCCTTGCTCTGTCCTTGACTACTTGTGTGACCTGGAACATGTCACCTAACCTCTCTGGATCTTAGTTTGCATATCTGTAAAATGAAGGGGTTGGATTAGTTGATCTCTAGGGTAACTTTTGGGTCTAAACCTGTGATTTATGACCTCAAGGTTCATTCCAATTCTGTGATCTTATGATCTCCACTGGAAGGTCCACTGGTGCTGGATACATGGTAGGCACTAAAAGAAAATGGCTGAGGGGCAGCTAGGTGGTGCAGTGGATAGAGCACAGGCCCTGGATTCAGGAGGACATGTGTTCACATCCGGCCTCTGATATATAACACTTACTAGCTGTGTGACCCTGGGCAAGTCACTTAACCCCATTGCCTAACCAAAAAAAAAAAAGAAAAGAAAAGAAAAAAAAGAAAATGGCTGAACTGCTTGTAGCTGTGCATATATAAATAGAATTGTGGTGGGGGCAGCTAGGTGGTACAGTGGTTGCTGAGGGTCGTCTTCACTGTCAGCGTTTGTGATCATAATGCTTGTCATATGGGTTCTTGGCTCTGTTACAGTAGTCCAAGGATGTGGTGGCAGGGAAAGAGGAGAAAAGGAAGGTAAGCTTCTAAATTTTTTGGCATTTTTCTCAAGTTTAATGGTATTTTATTTTTTTTCCACAGTTACATGTCAAGAAAATGTTTAGCATTCATTTTTACAAGATTTTGAGTTCCAAATTTTCTCCCTCCCTCCCCTTTTCTGAAAATGGTAGGCAGTTTGACATTTTGGCATTTTTCTCATCTCATCATCACTGTCATTCCAACAGCCCATGCGGGTCTGGTGCTTGATCCTCCCCTGTACCTCCCTTTGGCCCAGAGGTCTGTCCTGTTCTACTCTTTACCCTCCTGTGATAAAGGGCCCAAGATGGCCCCAGAACGCCTTTTCTCTGAAGTATTATATAAATCTTTCTTCAGTCCTTTATGGCCCCCCAAACTCTATATTAGCACTTATGAGCAACTTCCCTAAAGGGGTCTAAAGGAAAAAAAAGAGAAGGGTGTAAGGGAAGGATGTTGGGAAACAGGAGGGAACTATGTAGCCCAAAAGTATGCTTCCTAGTATAAGTTCTTAAGGGCCCTGTGCCTGCCTCTGGTGCTTCCTCTAGAGCAGGTTAGAGGAGAACCTGGGAAGATCTGTTCTTTTCTTTAGAGAGCTGTAGAGAAGATTGCCCTTGGATAGGAGCAATTGATGGTGAGGAGAGGAGAGAAGAGGAAAGGAGGCAAGCCAAGCCATGGGGTCCTCTGAAGAAAAGAAAGGAAATAACCACAGGGCTTGGCCAAGACTAGGGGATATCCCCGGGGGGGCTTACATGGGCAGGGAACCACCCTTACAAGCTGTTTGCCTTAATCCCCTGGAGTCTAGTCCTGTCTTCACCACTCAGCCTCTTAGACCTCACTCCAGAATCCCATCCCTAGAATTTTCTCCCCAATTCCTCCCCGGCAGCTAGCTGGAGGCATCACCAATGGCTTCTCGCTGCTTGGCAGGACTTGAGAGGTGGGGAGGGAAAGAGGAGGGGCAGCACTTGCACCCACAGAAGGGGTCAGAGGACATCATCTAAGTGTCCCAAATAGGAATTATAACTGCATTCTCATAGAAACATGGTTACACATGGTGACTAGGTACTGAATTACTGAATTTGTATAGTACTGCATTTCAGGTATGTTATGAATTAAATAGGGATTTATGTGCTGGCCTTTAGCCACCATTCATGACATTTTTATCTGAAAATACTTCACAATTAGAATAAGCTTACAATGGGATGGGTCTGTATTTCTGGGTTTTTTGTTTTGTTTTGTTTTGTTTTGCTTTGTTTTGTTTTGTTTTCCAGTTTGAACATTCCCAAACAGTTCCTTCAACCTGATTCTCTTTGTGCTGTGATGTCTGATCTCTCAACATTTTGGCTGTCCTCCTCTGCATGCCGTCTAGATTTTCAATGTTGCTTTTAAAAATGTGTCACCTAGAAACATTCACAGCACTCCAGGCATGGTCAGACTGTGGTGGGATGTAATGGAACAGTGATTTCCCATGATTGGAACATTACACTTCTAAATATAGCCTGAGACTCTGCTAATTTTTTTTTTAGCAGCCACATGATATTAAGATTATGGTTAATAGTAATGGTAGTAGCAATAATACTAATAAAAATAATGATGACATTAGCAAGCATTTATATAGAACTTATGTGCAGGGCACTTTACAAATATTATCTCATTTAATCCCCACAACAACCCTGGGAGGTAGACACTACATTATCCCATGTTACAGTTGAGAAAACTGAGGCAAGCAAAGGTCAAGGAACTTAGCCAGGGTCACACAGCAAGGTAGTGTCCAAGGCTGGATTTGAATTCAGGTCTTCCTGATTCCAAGCCCAGTACTCTGTGCACTATGGCGCCATCTAGCTGCTTTGAGGTCTGCTTTTTCACTGGAATTCCTGCCACCAAGGGGTTCTTTGTCCTGTCCTACAGTTGTTATAATTGACTGAGGATGAATAAATGACTCCTATATTTGTCCCTGTTAAAACTGAATCTTTCTGATTTTAGCCCAGAATTCTGATCTGTTGAAATCATATAAAATTTTGATTTTGTCCTATTATTCCTCCTAGCTTTATGTCATCAGTAACCTAAAGCATTATCTTCTTTGTTTTTTATTCAGGTCATCGAAAGAGATGTTTAAACTGGCCAAGGTCAAAGCCCTGTGGCACCACATTAGACCTGCCATGTTGACAGAGAGAGCCACTAACACTCCGTGGGAGGGAGGGGAGGGTTAGCCAGCTGCAAATCCACCAAAATGCATTCTTATCTAACCCACATTTCTTTACTCCCCATTTGCTGGGATATCATCAAAGGAGGCTGGTTCAGTCCCCAGTCCTCTCCCTTCTTTGTACCTTAATTTCTCCACCCATAGCTGTAATAGACCGGCACCACTGCTCTCTGGAATGCCGGTCTGAGATTACAGGAAATCCTAATGAGAAAGATCTTGGGGCACATTAGAATGCTAGGTGGTTCTCCCTCCCCTCATCCCCCCCAAGCCCCAAACAACAGAGTAGGGGGTGGGTGAAGGGACAGAAGACTCTGCTCTCCCATTAGAGGAATAGAATGTATTTGGGAAGGACGGTGGCCCCACATTAATGGAAAAGAATACTGTCCTGATCAGAGGGCATGCATTCATGAGAATGAAGTCACTCTCTCTGTTGGGACTGAGCTTTTTTTTCTGAGGGAGCAAAAGTTGTCCTCAGAAGGCATGAGGGAGGAAGGATCATTTTCCTGCTGAACGGACATATCTGAACAGTGATTGAAGCGCTGGCACTGTTCTGGGTTCCAGAAGTGTGGATGGCCCTTGTGGCAATTGAGATGGTGGATCTGACTCGTTGGGGGGGCCTTGGTACTGACCAGAAGGTTCTTACTTGGGAATGGGTAGGAGTGCTCCTTGAATTCCACGTTCTTCTTGGCTTTCTGTCCCTTACTTGTGGAGCCGCTGGCTGAGATCGGGACCTTCTTAGGAATACCCTTCTTGGATGGTGACACCTCAGCCCTGGGGAAGGTGTGGACTAAGTTCTGACTCCCAAGTTTTTTCCTGAGGCTGAGCCAGTGAAGGAAGTGTTTTGTCTTTTCCATAAAGCTGTTTTTTGAAGGGGTTTGACCCTGGGGAGTATAAACTATTCCCTCTGGGACCTGCATACTTTTTGCTCTCTGGGCCACTTTGATGGGATTTTTAGGGCCACTGGATTGGGAGTTCTCAGGGTTCCTTGTCAGAGAAGAAGTGCCCTTCAACTTTCTTTGGCTGCCTTTATGGTCATCCCTCTCAGCCTCTTTCCTCTCTGGCACTCCAAAAAGTGCCCCTGAATTCTCAGCTTTGGAAAAAGATTGAGGAAACTTCTGGAGGAGGGTGGTGTGATAAGGGTCCTTGTCCCCTGGATGTGGGGATCTCTGGGCTCTGCTCATAGGAGGCTTGGTTGGCCTTATGGCCTTAATGGCATGGCTCCTTTTCTGAGAAGAGGTCCCGCACCCTGCATCCCCTCCACCCTGATCTTCTCCTTTGGAGCCTTCTATCTTGTTTGGGCTTGAGCCGATGCCCTTGGCCCAGCAATCCCAGGGACTCTGTGGCTCCACTTTCCAGTACTTCCCTTGGCTTGGGCTTCTCTGTTCTACTTCCATATGTACATGGAGCACTTGAGCATCAGCCATGCCCCTACTGGACTTTTTCTGGGAGTGTGGCTGGGTAACCTTGCAAACCTGGAAGCCTGGGATCTGGGGGGATGTCAGGGAAAGAGCTGTGGGGGAGCTTTGAGTTTGGTACTCTGATGTTCTCATCAAACTGAGCTCCAGCTTATTGGAGAGCTGCTCCTTAAAATACGTCCAGCTTGGAACCTCAACATCTATTGCCGCTGGTAATGAGCACATTTCTGGGAACTCTTGGCTCCGTGGTCTGCCGAGAATCCTTTGTAGTTCTTTGGGGCTTTCTGGACTCACAGCTGTGGGAACATGTCCTAAGCCAGGCTCAGGTAAAGAAAATTGCAGAGCTTCAGAGAGTTCCCTAGAATCTATAGCTTTCTGGGGAATCCCCATACTTACTTCTAACACCTTCTTCCTTAGGTGGGAATCCATCTTGGCCAAGATGACAGACTTACTTGGCGAATAGGGACACTGTGGGCAGTCAAACCCTCTTTGTTCACCTATTCCCTGTGGACTCTTCTCATCACCTCCTCTTTCTGGTACTGCCTCTGAGACGTTTATCTGTTGTGAAACCACTAATTCATTTCCAGTGTCCCTAGAGTTCATGGTGGAGTCATTAATCTCTGCTTTGGGGAGAACTGATTGTTCTTCAGCCCATATCCTGTAGCTTATGGGGTCAATTTGTTCCTTTACTACCCCTTGCCCCATGCCAGGCACATCCGTTTGGGAAATAGCTAAAGGGAACATTGCCCTATAGAGAGCCACATAATAAAGAGCTGGTAATCCTGATAAGAAAGTCAGGTATTTGTGTCTCAAAATCATTTGCAGTTTCTCCATTACGCTCTCTGGGAGGGTCACAGCCTGGTCTGGCTGCCTCATGGTTTCATGCAGCGGTGTTAGTTTCTGTTGGTGCACACTCAGCTCCATCCATGCTGTTGTATTTGGCTCTTGGAAAGCCAAGACTTCTGACTCCATATTGGAGTGGGCAGCTTCCAAAGTTCTCTGGGTAGCAGGGTCTCCCGCTGACAATTGGTTCCCAATGTCCCATGACCCAGGGTATGATGTCTGGAAAGCTCCCTTGTTTGATCTGCAGACATTTTTTCTCTATGTGCATTTGCACGGTCACCCTAGCTTTGGCATAGGTTTCAGGCTTGATGAAATGGGCAGGAGTCCTAATGGGAGCAGGTGCTTGAGCCATCTTGAGTTGGGGATTTTCATTCTGGGGAAGTGTCACTTCGATCGAGGTGCTCTCAGGGACTTGTGGCTGGTTAATTGGGGACAGAAGCAAGGGAACAGACTTCTGTCTTGACTGAGGTGGCCTTAGCTGATGCTGAAGGATCCGCTTCTGAAAATGTAGCTCAAGGAGCCTCCTGGCATGGTCCGGGAAGAAAAAAAGCTCCCGGACAGAGACATTCATTTGGGGACAGGGAGGCATAAGGACCTGGTCTGCCTCACAGAGTTCATGATCGAGGGGTCTCTGGGACTGTTGACTCATCTGGATTAAGGGGGGGTACACCCCATAGCATTTGGAGCTGTCTCTGTAGTAGATGCCACTCCAAGGTTTCACATTCAGCTACCGTGAGAAATGGGACATTGATTTGGGTCTTTTCAGGGGCTTTGGTGCTGTTGCCAATCAGAATAGGTGGAGAAGGAGGAGGGGTAGAATGCGGCAGCAAGGGGAGGAAGGACAATTCATTGAAGAGGAAAGTACTGTCCAAAGAGGAGACGCTACTGGGTGGGGAGAGGGGAGTCGTGCCTCAGAAACGTGGCTACCAGGGATTCACTGTGCAGAGAGGGGAGACCGCAGAACAGTTGACTGTACTTCTGTTGCAGACAGTTCTTCTTGACGTCAGTAGTCCCCCCATTCAGGGGACAGGAGTTGGTCAGGACTGGGATGGAAGGAGGAGGCAGAGCCATGCTAACGCAGTTTGGGGACTCTCCAGAAGTTCTCCTCAGCTCTGCTTTTCCTAAAACGGGAGGGATCATCTGAGAGCCCAGGAAGGGCTGAGCAGGCTGATCTGTCCCCTGCAGTGCCAAGGGATGGGTGGCTGCAATCTTCACCTCTGCTATAGATACGTTGGAGACTTCCTTTGGGAAGAAAGGGACTATTTGATTCCCAGGGCAAGAATGTTGACAAGCTTCTGGCATGAGTTGTTTGATTGATTGCTCTACTCTCTTGGGGAGACCCCATCTCTGGAAATGCACTCTCTTTTGAATGTGCACCTCTAGAAGCTTCTGGACTTCAGGGCTAAAAAATGAACGGCTGTTAGGCAAAATTGTGAGCTGCTGTACGGTTGACGAGTGTCTGGTCAACTGAAGGAACTCAGTATTCAGCACGACGACTTTCCATTTAAAATCCTCAATCTTGTTACCCCATGTGACAGACTGGTCCCCGTGGTCACTGGCATCTTGCTTTGTTTGGGGGTCCTTGGGTTTCTCTGGACTGGAAAACGAGGTCTCCTCCAAAGGGTTTCTTGACATTTTGGTTACAAAGCCCTTCTTCTCCAGCTGGAGCTGTTCAGTCCAGGAGTTTGGGACCCTGGGGGAAGACAGGGAGGCTGTCTGAGTTGAAGGAGTTTGGCCTGGGAGTGGGGATGGCAGGGATTCTGTAGATGAGCTTCGGTCCAAACTTTGGTCAAGAGAAAGAGTAGACGTGCTCATAGCCTCTAAGTAAGAAGACCCAAGTGATGTGTTCTGCAGTGGGGGGGGAGTGTAAGTCTTTCTCACCAGAGAGCAGCAACTTTGTTTCCAAGGCCGCAGTATTACAGATGGAACAGGTAGGGTCCTCGCACAGCAGCTTCTGAATGCTACTTTCTTTGGGAACCCAGGTTTGGCTATTGGGGAAAGACAGGATACTAGTTATTTCTAGACAAACTCCCTTTTCCATAGAAGCCTGTTTTCTACTCTTTTTCTCCCTCTGTAGTAGATTTCTTAACCTGGGGTTCATGGACATCACTCCCCCTCCCCACCACCACCACCAAAGGAGTATGTGTGGATAGGCTTCAGGAGATTTGTGACATTTATTTTTTGGAGGGTTTTTTTGTTTTGTTTTTGATTTTTGGTGAAGAAATCGGGATTAAGTGACTTGTCCAAGGTCACACAGCCAGTAAGTGTCAAGTTTCTGAGGCTGGATTTGAACTCAGGTCCTCCTGACTCCAAGGCCAGAGCTCTGTCCACTGCACCACCTAGCTGCCCTTGTGACATTCATTTTTAATATATTTTGATAACTATATTTGAATATAATTGGTTTCCTTTTAAATTCAATGTATTTGATTATATGCTTTTATGTGTTATTCTGAAAAGCAGTTCATAGCTGCTCAAGGGGCCCATGACTCCAAAAGGTTAAGAATCCCTTTAATTCCCTCAGCAATGGCAGATGGCCTGAGGCTTGGAGGACCTGGCCCAGAGAGTCACTCAGGCCTTCAGAGAAGCCTGGGAACTGTATTTAGCGCTAGGAAGCTCTGCTTCACCTTTCTACCGCACGCCAGAGAAGGGAACAGAGGACCCAGTTGGTAGGTTAAGCTAATGACTCATCAAGTCTAAACTACACTAAAATTAAGTGAGGCCGAGTATCTAAACCTGATTCTGTAACTCCTCAATGGGGCTAGGTCTTCTGGAGGTTCTGAAATGCGTGCCACATTCTATGCCCTTCTACAGGGATCTTTAAGAAGCATGTGGCCCTGGAGTTCTTAGCTTGGGGGTCCATGAACTTAAACAATATATATTTTTGGCAACTGTATATAATAGGTTTCTTTGTAATTCTCCATATTTTATTTTATGCATTTAAAAACATGATTCGGTGAAGCGATCCATAGGCTTCACCAGTCTGCCAGAGGAGTATGTGACACACAGGAAAAAAAAGAAAAAGAACAACCCCTGGTATAGACTGAGTTGTGAGCTGTGAATCTATGGGCTCCCTGAAAACAGTAAAAGAGAACATGGTCTCTGGAAAGCATGGATAGTCTGAAAGAGTTAAGAACCTATGATTAAGATTCATAGCATGACAGTTGGAAAAAGAATAGCTGTGATGATGTCTCAATTATGGAGAAGCCATTTTTCTAGTTGGACAGCTCCAAAATCTGAGTTGTTCTGTTTTGTCTTATGTAGCCTTTTTTGATTGAGATCAATCAATAACCCAACTTCTGAATCCCAGGACCAATATCACTGTAGTTACTAGCACTGAGTTCTGAATAGGTGTCTCATACCCCCTTCCCATTTTCTATTTATGGGCATCTTTCTGTTACAATAAAGGAAGCCCTATAAAGAATTCAACAATTTTTTTTCTGTTGAGCACTGTCACAGTGATGGGCCCCCCATCTTTCAATCATAAAGTGTCCAACATGATCATTTCAAGTTCTTTTGTTCAGGTTCACTAGTCCTCCTCCCCACATGCTAGATTGGGAATTTGGGATTAGTTCAGATGATACCGGAAATGGGGATATGAGAAGAAGGGGTAGATCACCTTTTCAGGATGGACAACACTTCCAAGGGGGTCTTGGTGTCTTCCTGGGAAGATCTCCAAACTAGGAAGCCAGCAGAATCAATCAATCAGTCAATAAGCATTTATTTAGCACTTGATATGTGTCAGGCACTGTGCTAAGTGCTGGGGATACAAAGAAAAACAAAAACAGGTCCTGCCTTCAAAGAACTCACAACCTAATAGGGGAGACAGCATGCAAATCACTGTAAATACAAGATATAGAATCCAGAGGGAAGGCACTAGCACTGGGGTGGAGGGGAAGGAATAGGAAAGACCTCTTTGAGAAAATGGGATTTGAGCTGAGTGTTGAAGGAAGCCAGGAAGCAAAGGTAAGGGAGAAGACCATTCCAGGAATAAAGGGTGGTCAGTGAGATTGTCATATACAGCCAGATTATTACTAGTGTTACAGGATTGTAGAATATGTGGGGAGAGAAGCGAAATGTAAAAAGACTGGAAACGTAGGAAGGGGCCAGTTTGTGAAGGATTTTAAAAGCCAAACTGAAGGTTTTATATTTGATACTAGAGGTAATAAAGAGCCACTGTACTTTATTGAGAGTGGGAGTGATATGATCAGAGCTTTAAGATCACTTTGGCTACTGAGGGGATGATGGACTGGAAGGAGCAGGCAGGCAAACTGGAAGGCTGTTACAATGAGGTGATAAGAGCCAGTACCAAGGTGGTAGCTATGTGCATAGAAAGAAGGGGACATACATGAGAGATGTGAAGGGGTAGATGACAAGACTTGGCAATAAATTGGGTAGATGGAAAGAGGAATCGAGGATGACACTATGGTTGTGAGCCTAGGTGACTAGGTGCTGCCTTAGACAATAATAGGGAGATGGGAAGAGGGGAAGATTTTGGGGAAAGATAATGAGTTCTGCTTTGCTCATGTTGAGTTTGTGATGTCTTTAGGACATCCAGTCTGAAATATCCAAGATGTAGAGAAGTTAGGGCTGTGTATATATATATGATTTTTTTTTTTTGGTGAGGCAACTGGGGTCAAGTGACTTGCCCAGAGTCACACAGCTAGGAAGTATTATGTGTCTGAGGCCAGATTTGAACTCAGGTCCTCCTGATTCCAGCACCAATGCTCTAACCACTGTACCACCTAGCTGCCCCAGGACTGTGTATATAGCCTGGCAAACATCTGCATAGAGATGATTTAATTCAACCCATGGGAGCTGATAAGATCACCAATGGGGAGATAGTATAGAAGAAGAAGAAAACAAGACTCAGGACAAAATCTTGGGGATTGCACACTGTTAGTGGATATGACCTAGATAAAGAAGCAGCAAAGGAGACTGAGGGGTGGTCACACAGGTAGGAGGAGAACCAGAAGAGGATAGTGTTACAAAAACCTTAGAGAGGAGAGAGTATCCAGAAGAAGCTGATCAGTAACGTCAAAGGCTACAGAGAGGTCAAGAAGGATGAGGATTGAGAAAAAACCATCAGATTTGACAATTAAGAGATCATTAGTGATGCAGCAATCAGTTTTTTTTTTATTATTTTTTCCTTTCCCAACCCTTCCTCCTGCCCCCCCCCCACAATTTGTCATATGGATTGGCCCTTGGGGAGAGGGAGGAGGAGGGATACATGGGATACTTTGATGATATAAGAAACAGAAAACACCAACAAAATATTTTTTTTTAAAGAGATCATTGGTGACTTTGAGGAGAGCAGTTTCAGTTGAATGATGATTTTTTTTCAGCGAAGTATGAGGTAAGGCCCGCAACTGAGAGAGTAGAGGCAGGGAGTGCTGTGAGAGGCTTGAGGAGAGATGAAAAGGTTTGGAACAGCCATTCTCAAGAGAGAGAGCATGAATGGTTTTTTGTTGTTGCTGTTGGCTAGGCAATGGGGTTAAATCATTTGCCCAGGGTCACACAGCTAGTAAGTGTTATGTGTCTGAGGCTGGATTTGAACTCAGGTCCCTCTGACTCCAGCACCAATGCTCTATCCACTGTGCCACCACGCTGCCCAGAGCATGAATGTATTAAGGAGGTATAAAAGAATAGTCTTTCTGCAGGGAGGGCCCAGTTAAGATTATGTAATATAAATTTGTAGTGGACCTAGTGAACACAGTTTCATGACTTTATCCAGTTCTGTTCAGCGGCATGCGAATAGCAGCAAGGGCTGATGGGAGTAGTCCAATGCTGGGGCAAGGCATGATCAGTGATAGGACAGGGAGCAAAGGATTCACATATGGAGGATGGTATTGATTTGGACTGGTTCACTAGGGCCACGAGATAGGGAAGGGAGAAGAGTGTAGCCAGGGCAGGGGTCATAGCTTTGAAAAGAACTGAGGGAGGGAAGGCCTGGAGGTCATGGTGAGAATGAAGAACAAGGTTAGGGGTCATAAGGCACAAGGAAAGGTGGAACGTGTTGAGCAGGTGAATCTGGGCAGAGTTCTGGGAGGGCAGGTTCTTGGACAGCCTCAGGAGTTCTACAAGATCACTTTGGGTGAGGGTGGACCACTGCCCTGCCCCCTCATTCTTTCAATCCTGTAATAGGGACAGAGCAAAGAGTTTAGGAAATTTCCTGGGTTTTGGATGGGACCACAAGGGAGTTGTAAGGAGAAGGTAAGTTTGCTCCTAGGATAGGTTGGACAGGGCTAAAGACTTAATGTAAGATCTCACCTCTTTGTTCTGTGCCTTCCAAACTCCTTTGGACTTTTCTTTGACACTGAAAGGCAGAGGATAAGTGGGAGAATGGAAGTTTATTCTTTTTTTTTTTTTACTATCTCAAAGGAGACGAAGCTCACCAAAGTTCCCCAGTCTTCTCTCTCTAGGCATTCAACCTTGTATATTGTTTTACCAATCCTTACCACTCCCCTCCACTCCACCTCACTCCCTTCCTGGCTTTGTAATGAGGATATCCTACAAACAAGGCTTCCTAAGAAAAGGCTTTTTTTTTGTCTCATGGCTCATTCTGACCCTTAGTCAGAGAAGGAAGAAAAGACTGAGAAAAAAGTAAAGAAGGTAGAAAAGATGAGGAAGATTAGCTCTAAGGCCTTCTCATACCCTTTTGCAGGCCTTGGGAGTGAGGAGAAAGGGACTTGGGTGTTTACCTACCTGGCAGCAGCTCTCATTAGCAAGTTTCCTAAACGCATAACAGAACTGTCGCACAACCATGATAAGGAACAAGGACCCAAAGGCGTAATAAGCATAGTCACTGTTCCAAAGAGCTAAAATATATTTCAGCATGATCCAAATGCCACTAAGGCAAAGAGACTAGCCATCCAAGGATGGAAGCTCAAAGTCCTGGACACTTTATGCCTCCAGAAATACAGAATTCATCATCCCTACATCACAGAGGATATAGAACCTGTGTTACTTGATACATCACAAAGGGGTCCTAATTATGACACAAGAGAGAGTTGCTACAATAGGTTCTGTCCCTGTGGGGAAGCTGAAGCTATATTTAAGATTGTGGCTGTGAGTTTCTAGTTAGCTCTGTCAGATGAGGTGATGCTAATGAGGACAGTATCATGGCACCCGCCTTTATATGGGTCAGCTAACAGTTCTATTCTAGGCCACAGATTGCATCTTTTCCTCCGGCAAATGTCTCACAAATGCATGCCATGACCTTGGTGATACTCAAACAGATCTGTGATCTCACTGACTTGAATCTTCTTTCCAATGATAACAGATCAAAATTCATCCATACCCTCTTGTCCTGTGCAACTCTTTTCCAGAAACCTTCTGAAGTTCACCCAATGGGCTATAGGCCTGCCTCACTTTCTCCTGAAATCACAAGGGCACCAGCAGAGCACTTGAGTTTTCTACCTGTCATCATTCACCCTGATGACATCTTTTATTCTTGTTCATCTTTTGAGCTCCTCATTGGTTATATATTGCAGTGTGCTCACAACCACAATGTGTCTTTCATTTCCCCTTCTGTGAATACAATTTCTTTTCTTTTTTTTTTTTTTTGTCTAGGCAATGGGATTAAGTGACTTGCCCAGAGTCACACAGCCAGTAAGTGTTTTATGTGTCTGAGACTGGATTTGAACTCAGGTCCTCCTGAATCCAGAGCCCGTGCTCCTTCCACTGTGCCACCTAGCTGCCCCTACAATTTATTTTTTAAAAATAGATTTTTATTGATATATTTTGTTTTTGCTTTGCCTAAATTTTTCCACATAACCCTCCTCTTCTTCTCTCTCAGAGAGCCACCTTTTCTCAGGGTTATTGTGAGGTTGACATGAGATAATATTAATGAAGAGCTTTGCAAATTTTAAAGTGCTATAGAAATGCTAGCTATTAGTATTTTTTCTAGTATTTTATTTTCCCCCAATTACATGTAAAAACAATTTTTAACATTAGTTTTCAAAACTTTGAGTTACAAATTCTCTCCTTTCCTCCCTCTTCACTCCCCCCTCATTGAGAACACAAGCAAATCAATATAGGTTATACATGTGTAGTCATGAAAAACATATCCATAATAGTCATGTTGTGAAAGAAAACATGGACAAAAACAAACTCAAGAAAAATAAAGTTAAACAAAAAGTATGCTTCAATTTGTATTCAGACATCATCAGTTCTTTCTCTGCGGATGGATTAGCTATTAGTAGTATTATTATAACAAAGAATTTAAAAAAGAAATGAGGAAGAAGAGGAAGAAATGGTTATAACCTAAAAAATGTGATCCTATTTGCAATGTTCCACCTCTGCAGAACCCCTCCCCCAACAATTCTTCAAAGGAGTAGAAGATGTCTTCTCATAATGCAATATTAATTTTAAATCCTTCAGAGACTGTGCTATTACATGCTTTGTAGCCATGCAACACTACTGGTAGAATATTAGAATTGAAATTTTGGGCCTTTGTTGCAGGAAAAATATGGGATCACTAAAAGAACTTCGCAATTTCCTAAAGGCAATCTAGCCAAGTATACTCTCCCTGTTAATTCTGGCCCCAGCTCATTGTCTATTTGTACGGTTTGTTCCAGGTCTGCATACTAATTGACAACTAAATGTTGTCCATTCAAAGGTGTGCTGTCACCTGGGCAATAAATGTTCTTCGTCCACTTGGTTTTTCTTGTGTAAATAGTCACATCACATTCTTTTGAGTGGATCTGGGTGTCTTCCAGGATGCTCTGTGATGTTCTGGGACTTGATACAACTGGTAAAAAACAGGAACTTCTTGAAGGCTTCGCCAGCCTCAGGAAATTCCTTTTTAACTTGAATCCTTCACTGGATTTCCTATCAATGAACATCTTTGGTGAACATACTTCCCTTACTTTGTGTCTCTCTTGATGTTTGTGATCAGGACAGGGTTATTTCTGTAGTTATAACTTTCAAAGAATCTTGAAGGATTTTTTATGGGAGAGGCAGGGTGAGACAGTGGAAAGAACACTTGATTTGGAGTCAGAGGAACTCAGTTTGAATCTCAGCTTTGCCACTTACTGTGTGATCTTGGGCAGATCACCTACCCTCTCTGGGCTTCTGTAGAATGAAGAATTTGAACTAAATGACCCCTGAGGTTCCTTATAGCTATAAATCTGTGATGTTCTGGAGACACTTTGCTGGAAGAGAGTTTTTTGCTTTATCAAATCAAATGGTTTTTTTAAAAATAGTCAATAAACAAGCATAGTGAGATCTTTTATTCTTTACCTTTTCAGTCAAATGCAAAATAGTGGTGGTATGTTCTGCTATAGAACATCCCTTATGAAAGTCTGTCTGATCCCTACTAATGGCTTCATGGAGGTTATCCTTGATATGTGCTTAGACAAGTTTCATATTTTGCATACATAGAAAAGTAAGCATATGAGTGAGTAGTAGTTGTTGTTTTCTGTCACCTTTCCTTTCCAGTACTAATAAGGTCTAAGTTTTTCCCCCATGCTTTTGATTATCTTCCTTGCTTCAAATTCCAGACTCTTCCACTTTGCCCCCATCCAAGCACCACCACTATTCCCCACCCCCCCATTTTCAGTTTGTTTTTGTGTGTTGTCTTCTCCCACTAGATTATAAGCTCCATGAGGGCAAAGGCCATCTTTTTTTGTATTTGTTTCCCCAGAATTTAGCACAATTCCTGGCATATTTAGGTGATTAATAAATGTTTATTGACTGATTAGCTGACCAAAATTACCTCAGCCAGCAAATATTCAATCGCCTTACCAAATAAAGTAATGTAGACGCAAAGTACAACATGAAATTAGAGTATAACTTCATTTACAGAACCTTATGTAGTGGTTTTGGAGTATACTTCATGGAAAGTGCTGAGCTCCCCCAACAACTTCTGGGGCCAATATGATTTAACATGAGGGGCTTGGCACTTTGGGATGATGTAGCAAACACTGGGTGGTATCTTCATCCTTTCCCCTCCTTGTCTTTTATCAAATGAGATAATATTTGTAAAAGCACTTAGCACCTAGTAGGTGTTATATTAATGCTTATTCCCTTTCCTTTTACTCCTTCATCATAGCTGTAAGGGGTAGGGGAGAAGGAAAGTTGTATCAGAGAGAAATGGACATAAACCAGGAAGAGCAGACCACTCAATAGATTTTTCTTTATGGCAATTGGGGTTAAGTGACTTACCCAGGGTTACACAGCTAGTAAGTGTCAAGTGTTTGGTCTGAGGCCAGATTTGAACTCAGGTCTGGGCCAGTGCTGAATCCACTGTGCCACTTAGCTGCCCCCACTCAATAGATTTTATTTTTTTTATTTTATTAATTTATTTTGATTTATCAACAATCACTTCCATATGCTTTTGGGTTGAAAATTTCTCCCCCTTCTTCCCCCCCACCCTCCCCAAGATGGTACACAATCTGATATTGGCTTTATATTTACATTCTTATTAAACATATTTTCATATTAGTGAAGTTGTAAGTAAAAATTAAAACCAATAGGAGGAACCATCAGAAAGATGAAACAAAACTCAACATAATAATATATAATATAATATAATAAAAATAAGCGCTAGTGATTCAACTTTCATAGTTCTTTCTTTGGATGTGGGTAGCATTTTCCATCCTGAGGCCTCTGGAGATGTCTTAGATCCTTGTAATGCTGAGAAGGGTTCAATTTAACGATATTAGTCATCGTATAATGTGGCTGTTATTGTGTACAAAGTCCTCTTGGTTCTGCTCACTTCACTCAGCATCAAACCATATAAGTCTTTCCAGGTTTTTCTGAAGTCAGCCTGTTCATCATTTCTTATTGCACAATAGTATTCTATTACATTCATATACCACAACTTGCTCAGCCATTCCCCAATTGATGGGCATCCTCTCAATTTCCAATTCTTTGCTACCACAAAAAGAGCTGCTGTGAATATTTTTGTACATGTGGGTCCTTTTCCCATTTGTCTGATCTCTTTAGGATATAGCCCTAGGAGTGCTATTTCTGGATCAAAGGGTGTGCACATTTTTGTAGCCCTTTGGGCATAGTTCCAAATTGTTCTCCAAAATGGTTGGATCATTTCACAACTCCATCAACAATGTATTAGTGTTCCAATTTTCCCACATCTTCTCCAACATTTCTAATTTTCCTGTTTTGTCATGTTGGCCAATCTGATAGGTGTGGTGTGGGCAATAGATTTTAAATGGAGTGACTCTACCCTCTGGATTGCTCCCTTCCTCTTTCTGAGATTTCTTGTGAAAGGTAGGGGAAAAGTGGACCTTCCCTCATGCTGGCAAATATGGTGGACCAGATGTAACAGCAGACCCAGGTGCTTCTGGGCAAGTGTGAATTGGGATCTTTCTACTTTGCATTTCTTTTCCTGAGCATTGGTGACCAAACAACTATTCTGAGATGGGTATTTCAGCCTTGACTGCAATCTTGTGAGTTCTAGAGGTTGGGAGCTTCTGGGTCCCTCAGTTGGTACTGGCTACATTATAGCAGGTGCCACCTACATCTACTACAACACTTCTTAGAAAAAGAAGATAACCGCTAGGAGGAGGAGGAGCCAATCCTTGGACTGGCATTCCAGAGGCAATAGACCTTGAGGAAGACTCTATAGAACTGAATATGAAATACCTATTCAGTAGTCCTGCAAAATGTGATGTTTTAAGTATTAAGGCCCTAGAAGAATACAATAGTACCTAAACATTACTGCTTAAATTTTTGGTTAATGCTTAGTTGTGATTCTGTGTATTTTATAATTTTTTTAATATGAAAGAAATAAATAGCTATCCTCCATTTGATTTACATTGTACACTGAATACCTGCCTACTTCTCTTTGGGGGAAACACAAGACATGAACCAAACCTAAGCTCTAAGGAGTTTTCTTTCTTTTTTTTT